TATCTAGGGGGAACGCCAACCCTTGACTTCATATCTAGTGGAACGCGCCAACCCTTGACTTCATATCTAGGGAGAACGCGCCAACCCTTGACCTCATATCTAGGGGGAACGCCAACCCTTGACTTCATATCTAGTGGAACGCGCCAACCCTTGACTTCATATCTAGGGAGAACGCGCCAACCCTTGACCTCATATCTAGGGGGAACGCCAACCCTTGACTTCATATCTAGTGGAACGCGCTAACCCTTGACTTCACATCTAGTGGAACGCGCCAACCCTTGACTTCATATCTAGAGGGAACACGCCAACCCTTGACTTCATATCTAGAGGGAACGCCATTCCTATAAATCAAATGCAGATTATTTCCCGTTTTTCTTTCTTGTAAAATTAAATGTGGATCGATAGAAATGTAATAATAATATCTAACACGGAACGCTTTATATCAAATGAAGTTTTTAACATTGGCTGAAAGTTGTCTGACTCTTCATATACTGCTGCTTTACAGTAATATGTCTTAAACAATTATTTTCTGAATATCTAGTTAATTAATATAAACATAATAGTAAAATAACCAGTATGATGATTAGCTGTTTTGATGGGAGGCAAGAGGGATTGTGGCAGCACTAAATCACTGCTCATTATATTAATATGGTCGTAGTATTCTTAAAAATTTCTGTCATTTTTGTTTTTTAAATTTTTGCTCAAGGCTACGCAAAAACGTATCTGCGCATAGTCGTCTCTAATTTTAATCTGACAGACTAGAGAGAAGGCAGATAGTCTTTTGTTTGTTTGTTTAAGATCAAAGGCCCATTGAACTATCTGCTGTGCCCATCGTAGGAAATTGAACCTCGAATTTTAGCGTTGTATGAAGGTAAATTTACCACTGTCCCACTGGGGGTCGGCAGATAGTCAACAGTACCCACTGCTAGTTTTTTGAATATCCTCGTCCCACCGATTAGTAGAATTTGACCAAACTCTTGTGGCATTACTCGCGTCAAATGAGTAAGTGGCTTTTCGACTATTTCAGTTCTTAAATTAAATACCTAAACTTTATAACATTAAAAGAAAAATCCTGAATTAATGATGATTTACATATATTTGCGTTTAATTTGATTTATCAGTTTGATGATTATAAAATGAAAGAATCGCAACTCGTGATATCATGAAGTTTCTTTGACAGTTGAGTGATGTCACGATGACTCAAGTGCACGAGTCAGTTTCAAAATGGTGTAGTTTTGTGAGGTTATTACTCGAAGGACATGGTTGAAGTAAATTACAAAGTAGGTGATGTTTTATTTAGTTTGGTTTATCACCTTAAAAGGATGAAACTAGTTTCTTCTTATTTAAAGAAATAAGAGCGACCTGCCAAGGATTTCAAAGTTTTTCGTCAAGATACGAAAAACCATTTCATTATCTAAAAATGCTAAGTTGTGTCTGTTGCCACCACGAAATAAAGCGTGTCAAATTGTCTCTGAGTTTTTGACACAAAACATATCCTATTAGTTAAAAGAAGACGAACCAAGTTTAACCATAAGTATTGTTTGTACAGACTAGTCCAAATAAGGATGTTGATTTCATTTCACTAAAGAAGACTAACAAGCCAATTTTATATCTAAAAACGTTTCCAAAAATCCTCTTTTTCGACATGCTAGTAAGGTCTTTTTTTATACAGACTAGAATAGAAATATCACAACCACGTCATTTTTAAAAATTTCTTTAAAACAAACCTTCATAATCATTCAAAAGAAAGTTATTTTTGATTAATGGAGCTGCATTTGTGTCCGATGTATTTGACCATATGTGTTTTGTATGGATGT